TTATAGAGAGCCATAATGAGGGCATTGCAGAAGTCATGAGGCACCTCCTCTGTGGACCAAATGTCTTCCAAGATGTCTTGGGTTGCCTGTAGGCTGTGTGAGTCTAGTCCTTTGTAGATCTCAGCACGAATGCCATCCTGTCCTGTTGCTTTATTTGAGTTCATCTGTGAGATCACTTTCTTGATCGCGTCAGTAGAGGGATGCAGGTCTAGAGCATCCAAGCCTGGCAGCTCAAGAAATCTGCTGTAAGACGTCATGATCAACTGCAGACAGTCTATTGAATAGGTTTGAAAAGTATTCAGCCCGGCAATTCTTCAGTCCTTTCTAGTGTTTGATCAGGCTCGACCCATCAGATGAGTATCCAGTAGCAGAGCACAGTGGACTACCACTGACGTTCTCTGATGATTTCTACACTACACTCCCCAAACTCTTTTTATATCCAGTCCCTTTTAATCTGACCCACTTATCCCAGAGAATTTATGAACCTCCAGATGTTGCTGACCATCACCCACCAGAATCCCTCACTCCTGACTGTGCCAGCTGAGGTTTCCATGAAATATGGTTCAGCAGCATATGGAGGGCCATCACTGCTTCTTCCCTGAGATCGGAACTGTTAAATCTTAGAAGGGAATCCAATCAACCCTCCCTTAAATTCCCGGACCCATGGCTGAGCCGGGAATAGGCTCCCCTATATCAGAGAGGGGCAAACTGGTGTCTTCCAGATATTTTGGGCTGAAAAGCCTGTCTCTTGCCACAGGCCATTCTGCCCGGGCATGAAGACAGAGGAAATTCAAAACCTCAATAAGGCACCAGATTGCCATCTCACCCCAAAGAAGAACGTAAGGGATTTGCTACCAGCCTATATTCTTCTTTGGTACCTCTTTCCATTGCTGTAGTTGTAGTCTTCAGCCTGTACTTCTGCTTCTTTTTGCCTGGCTGGTCCTGGGTGCAACTGGTAAGTCTCTTCTTCACCTTCTTTATTTCTGGAGAACTGGTTCTTACTCAGCACACTTTTGTTGCTTTGCTTTCTCAGTACTTCATCTCTGGCCATGCTGATTGGTTGGTAGCCAAAGTCTCTTGTAGTTCATTGGATGCTCAAGGTGCTGTGGGCGTGGTTCTGCAAAACCACAAGAATAAGAAGGGAATATTCAGGTCAAAGGATATCACTGGAAGGTTTGGGATGATCCATATGGAGCACGAGGAAGCTGACCTGGTCTTCTGGAACTATGTGGGCAAGACAAGAAAAACAGGGAAACTACCACTATTATCCCTTTGCACCTCTGACAATAATTATATTAGTCAAAGATATCATCTTTCAGGATATAATGAGAGTATTTTAGAGTTCATCTCTTTGACCAGAGTTTTTAATTGAGCATCCTGTGCTGGTGGGAACAGGTAACAATGGAAAACCTTTGGCGTCTTTACTGTGGTGCAACTACATGTGCAGCCAGAAGAATCTGCCTCTTGAGTCATTCAGCTACAAGGTCTTCGATTTATATGACATTACTGTCCAAGGCTATCTGTACATTGCAGCATCATGAGTTTCTGCCACAGAACAGACTGTTAGGCAACTCAAATGGTATTGTTGTGATACAGGCTACAAACAGAATTACAATGTCTTTACCATTAATTTTTTATTTTTATGAAGGTGAATGTACCAAAAAACCTGATCAGTGGAAACATGGTTAATATAGACTGCAAGGCTTATTTCCAAATAAAACAAAGATGAAATCTTTCAAGACTCTGTCCTCAAAATGATGAAAACCACCTCATTGTTTCCGATACCTTCAAATAAGCAGCAGAGTTCACATGTAATCTTTTCTTTAGAAGAACAGCAGACTAAACTGTGGAAATATGCATCATTATAAAAATAATTCATTTCTAAAAAACAAGTCAGATACAGAATTTGACTTAACATAGAATCTGTTTAAGGATTATTATTCAGCAAATCGACTTGCACAACATCCAAGGTTTGGATTTCTCCTAACATAAAGGTTTAAAACATTAGAGCTTGTCTGGTTTGTTGTAATAAAGATAGACCTTCTTAGTTAGCTAGGTCTAATTCTATGTAACTAAGACATGTTAGATGGAATAACTTGTAGAATACATAAAATGATCTAATTAAGATAATTTTCATCTTGACTGATGATTCCTATTACATTGGCTACCTTTGAACATACATTTGATTTTAATAATGACGTTGAAATCCTAAATTGATATAGCGCCACTTTGTATTAATCCGCATATCCATCCCCATTTCACCTGCCATGTCCATTCCACTGGTGAACGGATAAAATTATATCTAAAGGTGGTAAAATGAACCCACCACACAGACTGGAGTAAAGGGTGTT